GGGGCTGCACATGCAGGCGTCAGGGTGAGACCCCTTCCCGCCAGCCCCGGCTGAGGAACCAAACCCCAGGGACGAGCAGGTGGGCCCTGCTGCTGCTCCGGGCCTGAAGCTGTGAATCGGGGCGTGGGCCACGATGTCTTAAATAATGCTCAGTGTTGTGTCCTTTTTCTGAATTATGGGCCTCTGAGTGGCTAGAAATAGCCCACTCCTTATCAAGAGCTGGCTGTCACGACTCCTGGAGCGGGAGCTGTGTCTGTCTGGCAGGAAAGCTGCAGAAGGTGCCGGGTAGCTCTTAAAAGCCATGGGATCCCACGGGCAGAGCGTGTCCGTTGCCCGCTGCAGCCCCCGTCCCTGCCCGCTCCTAAGGCGCCAGGAGTTGTGGAGGAAGGTGGTCTTTGCGCAGGTTGGAGGTCGGCTGGGCATCCCGGCGGCTGTGGGTGGCTTGGGGGAGTTGAAGATGCAGATAGTGGCCGTCTTTGTTTTCACAAGACAGGTCCTGGCACAGTGCCTCCCGTCACACCGCGTCCCCTCAAGCCCCGTGGCAAGGGTGCTCCTGTCAAGAGGGAGCTGTGCGCCCTGGGGCCGGGGCTCTGGGGGAGGCAGCGCCTCTCCCCCTATGGCACCCAGCAGGGCGGGCAGGCAGCTGCATGCCTGGCCATCTCCCAGGGCAAGTGGCACAGCCTGGGTCAGAGCCCACCTCTGCTGTTGGAGTACATCAGAGGTGCTCAACCCCCCTGCTCCTGGCGCCCGAATCTCCCCGGTGGGCCACCAGCCCTTGCATTCCCCAGTGTCCGGCACCACTGGGGTCTAAGTCACCCTGTGGCGCCAAGGAGACATGTGAGCGGAGGTGCTGTCCCTGCCTTGCCGCAGGGGCTGGGGAGGAGAAAGCAAGTGAGGGTTAAGGGCAAGGGTTGGTGTGGTGCCCCAGCACCTGGACAGCCCAGGACAGTGCCAGCTGTCATCTCCATCCTGTCCTGGTCCGGGTGGTGCTACCCCCTGTGTCTCAGTTCACCCCAGAGGAGGGGAGCAGGAGATCTTGGGCAGCACTTTGGGAAGGTGAATGCCGTGCCTGGTCCTGTCCTCCGTCTGGGAGACCTCCTGGCATCACCAGGGAGCAGCTGGAAAGCGCGGCTCCCTCGGCCGTGGTGGTGCTTGCAGCTTCCAGCGGAGGGTAAGGGTCTCTCTCCTGCCGTGGGGGGATTTCAGACTGCAGGGCTCTCCAGCCAGCATCATTAACCACACTAATTACTTGGCTGATGAAAGATGGGCTGGAGGGGGGTTGGTGGTGACAGCTGTGTTCCAGCTCAGCTCCTCCAGGCACTCGCTGAGTCCCATATCTATCCCTCAGGGCGTCATTAAGGCAATTAAAATGGGAAGTGTTAACAGCGCTAGCGGCTGCTTTCCGGGTTCTGGCGGCTTCCCTTCCTCTTCCCTGTGGCTCCTTTTGCTCCTACCTCAGCTCCGGAGCTTGGCAGGGTGAGTTTAATATCTCCGCTTTCGGGTCTGGCAGTTGGCTGATCTCCAGCTGCCCCCCGCCGCAGCGGGACAGGATGCCAACCTGCCCCTCAGGCAGCGGGAAGGCAGGGCTGCCCACGACAGATCCCAGGTGGCAGCTGGTGCTTCTCCTGGGACCAGAGCCGCCATCTCCCTGCCTACAGATCACCTGCCTTCAGGAGAGGTGAGGAAGAGGAGGGCTTTGCCTGCGATGCTTTGCTGCAGGCACGGTACGAACTGCAGTGCTGCCATTGCAGTTGTTTGTGCAGACATCTCAAATCTCTGGGAGATTTGTCCCCCAGGCTGGTGCTCGGGGCTTGCTTACTCCCCTCTCGGTGTACAGGAGGTTCAGAAAAGCTGCTTGGACAGCCCGCCGTTTATCGCCGGCGTGTGGCTGCAGCACACATTAGCCTGCGGTGGGTCGATGAGCACAGTGTGCCCAGGGCAGCTGTCCCCTCCCCAACAGCTGGCGTGTCCCTGGCTGCATGTCCAGCAGCCGTGGTTGCTTCCAGCCCTGCAGGCAGGGAGAAGCCCTATAATGTCCCTCCTTCCCAGGGTGTGTGGGGGTCATCCCCACATAAATGCCGGTTCAGTGCTTCCTCCATCGGTCTCAGCATGTCTGCCGCTGCAGACACCGAGCGAGGCTGCGGCAACTTGGACGCAAGCCCAAGAGGTAGGGGCTAAGGGAAATGCCTCTCTCAGGCTTGAGGCAGTGTCCCGGTGTTTCTGAGACTGCCAGCCCCACCGAGTGCAAGCGAGGGATTGCCTCTAGGGCCTCTCCAGCAGCCGACAGACCTGATCCCATTCCCAGCCTGGCTTTGCATCACTTTTCCTTGGCTTTGTCCCAGGGCTGCCATCCACGCCGGGCTCTTGCCCCGGGAGCAGCGCTTACCTGCCATCGCTGTGCATGTGCCTGTGCCACGGGGGGGGCGTGGAAGCAGCTCTGTGCTATTTTTGCTTGGCTGGAGTTGGATCCTGCCTCGTGAACAGGAGCCATTGGTGTTTTCCAGTGCGTGCAGCGCTCACTGAGGCACCCTTCTGCAGCCAGGGTTGGCCAAGGACGGGCTCACTGGAGGTGGCGAGGAGCCCCACCATCCCTGGGGGACATGGAGCAGACATGGCCTCACCTCGCAGGGCTCTTGCAGCTCCGCTGCTTGTGCCACATTTATTTATTTTGAGCTTCAGGCAACTGTCGTGTTGTGCAGTGGCAGGGCTTTTCTAACACACCACTGGAGCAGAGGATCCCGTGTGCGAGGGAGAAGTGTCAGCTCTGTTTTCTGAGATTTATGCTGAATCCAGGGTGGGCTCACCCCGGATTAGAGACCTTCTCAGCCCCGTGGGGTCCCCCCCAAAATTGTGCTCTCCTTCTTAGCCTGCAGACAGACCCTGCTGAGCAAAGCCAGCCTTGGAGTGGGAAATGTTTGACCTCACTTGAATCTGCGTTTCTTAAGAGCCTGGGTGACACTTGACTGCCTTTGGGATGAGCTAGCTGGCCTCAGTGACATTTGGAGTCATAGAGATGTTGTTGCATGAGCCACATGTCCCTCTGATGACAGAAAGCTCGCAGGATTGAGCTTTTGCCTTGATGGAAAGTGGCACGCCCGAGGCAGGGAGGCGGCAGGGTGGCACAGGCATGGGGGACCTGCTGGTGCTGCCCCTGCCTGCAGGCAGAGCTGCCCCTGCAGCTGGGGAGCCCTGGCATGTGTAACCCTGCAGTTGTGAGACCCCTGGTGCACAAGCGAACTCTTTAGCCTGGAGAAAGTTTTGCTTTAAAACCCAGAGAAATCCCCAGCATGTGGGAGCTGCGGGTTCCTGTCTCAGCTGGTAGCGGTAAAGCTCCAGAGCTCATCCGGTGAGTCCTACAGGGCGTTCAGAGAGCGCCTGCCATGCTTTCCTGCAAGGGAAGCCGCCTGGCCGGCTGGAAGCCCACGTCCCAGAGGGACGGTTACCTAACGCTGGTCAGCTCAGGGCAGCCTCTGTGTACCCTGCAGCGGCTCGGGTCGGGAGGAGCTTGCCTTGCTCAGAAGAGCATCCGAGGAGGAGGTGTCCCTGCTCCTGGTTTCGGTCGCAGGGAAGGACAAGGGAGCTCCCTGCTGGGGCCAGCATCAGAAAAGCCTCTGCCCAGTTGCAAGCTAGTAGCTTCCTCAGGAGTGAGCAGCAGAGGTTTCTCTGGGCAGCTGTTTCTTTACCTCAAAGCGATTTTTCAGGGACATTTCGGTGGCTAGATGTGGGCTTGTGCCCTCAAAACGCGCAGCAAAGCTGTCAGTGAGCGGTGCAGAAGGGAGCTGGGGGCGGAGGGGGCAGCTGGCAGCGACACGTCTTCCTGCAGGGAGCAGAGCTGGTCCGGGGGTGGTTTTATCAGTGGTCTCTGCTTTGCAGGTGTGTGGAAAAGAACATAACAAAGTCTTCTTTCCCCTTTTCCTGCCCTTTTTCATTCCTGATCTTTCTTCAGACCTTCAGATTTCTTCATCAACCAGGATGATTAAAAAGGATGATTAAAAAGAAGAAAGTTGCCACACACAAAACTTTCTGTCGTCGGCTCCGTTAGGATGTGCCGGCCAAAACCTCGTACTGTTCGGTCTGGCAAGATGTTCCCAGGCTTCGGAAATGATGCTGTTACTCACTGGAGTCAGCCTCAGACCTTCCGATAATTATTGGTGAAAGAGGAGCCAGGCAGGGATAAGAAGCCCCAGCTTTCTCCTGGGCCACAGGCGGAAGTCTCGTGGTTGGGAACCTGGGTTGAGAGCCTGAATTGGAGCAGCTGTCCAACTGTGCTCTGTGGCAGAATTAGTTACAGATTAATTAATTCATTAATTATTAATTACAGTGTGTGTGCGTGTCGAGGTGTCGCAGGAAGGATTGTTGTGAAGGGTGATTGCAAAGTGCAGGACAAGAGCTGCTCCTCGGTGCAGACGGTTGAAGTGTCAGCGGTGATGCACAAAGTGCTCCCATTACGCAGTGATTTTATGCTTAATGTTCTTTCGTTTAAAGGGTCTGAAAAATTAAACGCTTTCCATCACAAGGGTGTAGCAAAGCCCTTTCTACTTCGTCTCCCTCTGTGTTCTTTAAAAGGTGGTCGGTGTGAGTGCTGGGCTCGCTCGGGCGGCGGTGGCTGTGCCAAGAGCTTTGCACGTTGGAGGCAAGAAATGGTTTTAATCGTTTGAAAAGGCGGATTTCCCCGGAGCAGCCTGTGCAGCGCTGGCCTGCACAGCCCTGGCAGCAGGAGCTTCTCCACGGCTCCCCAGGCTCCGGGAGGCAGTTTTCCATAGTGGCCGTGCCAGGTGTTGCCTGGCTCGCTGTTCAGCCACGCTGCTCTCCCTGCTGCCTCGCTAAACCCTGTCGTATTTTTCTCTTGCAGATTTTCCGACGAGCCGACAAGAACGGTGAGTGCTTTGTTCCTGCCGCTGCCTCCCCCTCCCTACCCGGGTCTGAGCGAAGCAGCACAGTCTGCCCCTGCTGGGAGGTTTGGCTGAAAGAGTGAAGGAGGATAAGGACAAGCAGCTCTCTGGCTGCAAGAAAAATGCTTTTCTGCTTCGCCTGGAGGAGAAGGCACTGGAGTAAAGGGCCTGGCCAGGGGCTGGGGAAGTGGGCTCCCCCAATTCACCATCCATGCGCCATGCAGGACAGAGCCCCTTCCAAGCCCTTCTCCTGCCTGCATGCACACGATCTCTCCTTTGCGCTGCTGGCAGCAAGAAGGGAAGGCAAAGCAAGCTGTGCAGCAGACAGCCTAGGGGCCGTCAGGCTTCTGCTCCGTCCCTTGCAGGATTGATTCAGTCTCTGCGCTCAGTCCAGGGTTTTACAGCTGCCCCCAGTTGGGTGGCCCTGTTCCTGGATGCCCACTGGAGCCCCTGGCATTCGAGAGTTAGGCTCTGCTACCCGGTTTTTAATCTGGCACCCATAAACGAAGAAGTCCAAAATCACAAGTCGTTTCTCTGAGCCTTCCCACCTTCTCTTGGGCTCTTCTCCTTCACGGTAGCTTGCAGGCTCCAGGAGCTGCTTTTGTTGCAGATCAAAATGCAGCCCAGGAGCTGAAGTCCTTTACAGAGAGGAAGGAAAAAGCTCTTGAGTCAATGGAGAGATTTTCTTTCCATAAAAACCTGATGCTGTCCTCACTGTGCTGTTTGTAATGGACTCTGTACTTGGACAGTCAGCTTGGACAGTAATCTAAGTACAGAGTGTCGGCATGCATTTCTGAAAATGTTGCAGTGGGGCATTTTGGTAGGGGACGAAATTCCCACGTGAAATTCCAGAAGCAGTGGCCCTGCTTGCCAGCGCTCCTGGGTTTTTGATGGGGACTGGTGGGACATGCTTTCAATGAGATATCTGCTCTAGTTGTTATGCACAACACGCCCAACCATCCCACGCTCCCGGTAGAGAAGCTGCTGGGAGGATCGCTGGGGCCTGTGTGCTTCTTTCTGCAGATATATAATTATTCTTCCCTTTTATTTAAATGCAGATGATGGGAAGCTGTCATTTGAGGAGTTCAAGAACTATTTCGCTGATGGGATCCTGAGCTCGGAGGAGCTGTGGGAGTTGTTCAGTGGCATTGACAGGTGTCATTCAGAGTGAGTACCATGGTGGCACAGAGGAGACGAGACGAAGGAGAATATAAAACTGCTTGACTTGTAGATGGAGGACATCTGGAGGCGGGTGCAATAAATAGTGAGGGTGAGATAAACCTACCTCTTGTAACACGCAGATGTTAAAACCCATTGAACACCAGCTACGAGCATTGGTGGTGAGAGAAGCCAGACATTTTGAGAACAGTTGTTATCAGATTTACTGTAGTTCTGTAAAAGCAAGCATCCATTTAAAATTACATTATGTTAGTTTGAAAAATGTATTCCAGAAATACACAGCTCTATAACGGAGCAGGTTGTGTGTCTGCAGGAGGAGCATGTGTGGACGATGATCCCTGCTGACACAGGGAACTGCTTTTCACTTACGTAAGAGCTGCTTTCCACCAGAAGTGGGCCTTATGAGTGTAACTGTGAACTTTTAAAAAAAGAAACCCCCAAAGAACAGGAGAAGTAATTGCACTTAGCCCTGGTCTCCTCTTGACTGGTGCTATCTAGAGGAGTCTGTTGGGCTCGGCTGGGTTTCTCATCCCAGTCTTTCGGATATCAGTGTGGCCTTGCTGGGGTCCCTCTGCCCTGCCAGCCGCTGTGAACGAGCGTGTTTTGGCACTGGGAGAAACTGGCCATTGTTAAATTGCATGTCTGGGGGCTGCCTGTTCAAACGGAGGGGTGCTGCTGGGGGAGAAGGTGGCTGCAGCTTCCTCCTGGTCTCGGGCAGCAGGCTCGGCTCTGGCTCGTGCCACTTCCCTGGCACCCCAGGAAGCATCTCCTGCAGCGCTCTGACGCCCTGGCCAGGGCAGTGTCTGAGCAGGTCCCCGCCAGGGAGAGGTAACTCGGAGCAGCCTTAGCTGCACACGCTGGTCCCAGGGCTTTGCAGGGAGCCAGGGCAGCGGCACGGAGGGCCTGTGCCATGCCAAGGTGCCAACAGCCACCGAATGCCACCGAGCCACTGACAGCAGATACCCAGCGGTCCCTGGCTGCAAGTTACCACATCATCCACACAGGACGGGGCGAGTGGGGATCATTAACTTCTACCGAGTGTCAGGGTGGTGGGTCTAGCTGATGCTCCCGCTTTAGCGATGGGGCAGAGAAGTGGGCTGGTGGGTGCAGCCCCTTGTGCCACTTTCTTTTAAGCCTGGCTGCCTGTCCTGCCAGTTGGGCTTGTTGGATGTGGGCAGCAGGAGGTGTCCCCTGAAAATGCCTCTGCCTCTTCGGGCTGTGATCCCAGGGAGTTAGCAGTGAGCCTCTTTCCCCTGCAAATGCTACTTTCCTCTCGCTCCATTTTGGGGTGACCTTGGAGTCACCCCCCATACAATATTGCTGGAAAACATGGGTTGCAGCAAAGCAGAGAGTTTTAACTGTGCCCTTAACTGAACAGTGAAGATTTCCTGGTTTACCATCGCTTTCAGGTTGGGCTGCTTCTGTCTGTCCAGAGCAGAGAAACAGGACTGACTGAAGGGCCCCGTGTGAGCAGGCTGTCTCTGAGAGCCATGCACAGCCCTAGCTGCAGCGGTGCTCTCTAACTCGTTACCCATAATGACGGTGCGGTAGCTATGACAACGTGGTAGTTGCAGCATTGAGCTGGTGACATCTATTAGCAGGACATGACCATTGGGTCTTTGATCTCTTTCTGCCATGAAGAGCAGAAGAGACCCTGCGGACAGAGCTGGTTTCCAAATTCCTGCGTTCAGTGACTTCAGGCAAAAGTAGGAGACGCCCTCCCTCCAGCCCTGCGAGGATGCCCTCATTTCTGGAAGAGCAGAAGGGAAAGTCCACCCCTGAGGCCATTGCAGGTGTAACTCTTGTTTCTGTCCCCGGCTGGGACATGGTCCATGTGCACGTGTGCAGGGTCAGTGCATGAGACAGCTTCAGTGTGAGCAGGCGGGAGCGGGATGGGACGTGGGAGGTGGCAGCAGGGAACTGTACATGATTTCTTCAGCTTCATCCCCAGTTCATGGAGGAGGAGGAGGAGGAGGTGGGACCTCCCAGAGAAGGAGCCTGGCACTCAGCTTATTTTCTGGTGAGAGGCATCCTGCCCCCTGCAAACAACGTGGGGCAGCGCTGCGTCTGCCAGAGCGCTCTGATCCTGACCCAGAGCCGTGTGCCTGCTGGGAGGAGGGACTTGGAGAGACAGGCCTGTCCCCAGGGAGGCATGACCCTGTCTGGCCCCAGGGGCTGCCCAGGGACTGCTTGCCCACTGCACAGCGGCAGGTAATGGAAATTAAGCAGTGTTCAGCACGCTGGGCCTTGTAGAGTTCTCTGTGGGTAGAGCTGGACTTTCTGGCATTTGTTTTTGGGGTGCGCAGGGGGACTTGCTCCTTTGTACAACCTCTGGTGTCTTGCAAGGGCTGTGCTGGTGCCCTGCTGTCCCCTCGATGGGGTGGGCCCTCTCCTCCGGGCTTCCTGCTTGCCTTGCACTTGCAGGAACTTAATATTTTTGAGACCTGGCTGAAATTTGCTGCCAGATTCAAGAGTTATTACCCAAGATAATACTCAAAGTACTACAAAGGTGGAAAGCAACTACAAGCTTTGCAAACATATCTGGCGTGCTTCTTTCATGTCCCGTAGCTTTTCTGATGATGGGAAAGTTTCACCCTTAATCCAGTGGGTGGATTTGGCCACAAAGGTGCTGTGTTCATCAGGTCTAGGCTGAAACTTGTGTTTCTTTGTCAGTGCCAGCCTGACCCAAGGAGAGACAGTAACAGAGACCTTTATACCCAAGCACTCTCCATGTCTGGGTAATGGAGCGCTGCCCAGACACGTCCTGACCCTCACCCATCACTGTGAACCTGCAGCTGCTCCCCTGGGTCCCAAAGCTGACATCTGGGAAGGTGAATATTTCAGAGGTCTCATACATTACTTGTTCTCCTTCCAGAGAGCCCACGGCACCACACTCTCCTTTTCTCCCCATCCTTCCCATCCGATCTTCGTTCCACTTCCCATCCACCCAGCACTCAGGTGAGGTGCTGTGGCCTGAGCGTCAGGCACCTCTGTTGGGTTCGGTTCAGATTATACGTTTCCCCACGAGGCTTTTTTTGTTCTGCATTTCTGAAAATTGTTCCATTTTGGCTTTAAAATATCTCCTTGCCCTAATTCTTTGACATTTAAAAAGTTATGTTGAAACCAAATTCAACTCTTTGGTACAACAGCTAGGTCCACTGTTTCATTTAGCTTGTCAGAAAGCTCCACGCCAGCTCTCGCACTGGCACAGAACAGAAAGATTCATCTTCCTGCAAAAATGCATTTTCATCCACTGAAATGTCTGGGTGAGAAGAGACAAATGTTTTTGAAGGGATGAAAAAGTTCCATTGCTGCAGAAGTGCCTGGGAGAGACACAGTGCGGTTTGCTCTCTGAGCAGCCGTGTGACCCTCTGCAGCACAGCCAGGCGGGATGGCAGCAGATCCCAGGGTCTCGCGGGGACAACTTAACGGAGAGTCGGCTACAGAGGGCTTTGGACTGAACGTTGTAGTGTTGCATAGGTTGCATGCCTACTGCTCTTTGCAAGGGACTATGAAACCTGCCCAGGGGAGTGTTGCGTGGACCTCGTGTCTTTCTGTCCTGCATCTGTCAGGAAAATTTAGGAAAACAAGGTCTGGCAAATCCTCCTTTGTATGAGAGCGGTCAGATGGTGGTGGCAGGAATTAGGTACAGACTGCCCGGAGCCTCTGTCTCTGACCTTGAGCCACAAGTGAAAGAGGTGGGAGTGCTGACCTGGTGGTTTTTAAAAACTCTCAGTGGAAATAACCTCAAGCCTCTGGTTCTGTGGAAGAAGGGACTTGTGTGAACTTTCCTCCCCTCTCTTTAGTCAGAGACTCAGAGCTGCGGCATCTGCCAGTCTTTGAATGATGGAGAGTGACTGAAACACTCGGTCACACTGGAAAGGTTTGGAAACCAGATCTGTGATGGCAGCAGAGGTTCCCAACATGATAAATGATAAAAATAAAGAAATTCTCATCTGCTTTGCTGAAGCTGATTGCTGTTTTCTTGCATAAATTCCAGACGCATTCTGACAGAATCCCAACAGCATAATGATGACAAGATCCTTCATCATCAGTTCAAGCTTAATTACAGTTAATCAGTGGTTTGAGCACAGTCAAAATACAGCTATTTGGAAATGTGGAGACTCTCAGGATGAGTGCTTTGGAGGCGGAGGATGGCTCTTCTCTTGGAGTGGGAGAGGGGATGGCAGAGAGAGCAGTGGAGCAAAGCCTGCTGCCCCGTTGCAGCCATGCAAAATGGGTCGGGATTTGACGTACAGGTTCTGTACATCATGATGTGCGTGAGCTCGTCCTGGTTTCTGGTATGAAGTAGCTTCTGGTAGCATGCGAATGGCACCATCGGTCCTGCAATTTGCTTGCTGCGCTCTGTCCTGCCCCTAACTGTGCCCTGGGGGCTGCCGCAGGATGCGGAACATGGGAAGAGGTGGCCGTGCAGGGTTGCTGACAGACCAGGCTGCGTTGGGAAGGGAGCAGATCCTCCACTGGACAACTCCCAGAGGGCTGATTTTTGCCACAAGATCTTGGCGATTGGTTCAGTGTTTAACTGTTCAGTGTTTTAGTGATTCATTAGTTAATGTTTGTTTTTAAGCAGGAAACAGACAAGATAGAGTTATTAATAATCTCTGGCCTCTCCTTAGAAGCCAGAGGGTTGGTGTTGATAGTAGCCCTTTGTCACACGGATGCCTGCTCACTAGACCTGAGGTGGGGAACTGGGCAGTGGGTTGAGCTGGTGGCCCCTTCTTCTTCCCAGTGAAACCAGTCCCAGCCCCAGGTTCTTACTGGGGACAGATGCAAACACCTGGGTAACGTATGCATTAGGTGTTTCACTGTGTATTTTGTTGTCTCATGTCTACATCCCCTCTTTTGTGAATTCTACCCATCTCTTGGATGGGAACCAGTGGCTGCAGTTATTGCTCTGGGGCACGGGTCTAACAAGCAGTGCCGCAGATGCTGTGGTGCCAAGTCTTTTGTGGCAGTGCAGCAGCAGCGGCTCTGCAGGCTCCAGGCAGCTTTCAGAAATACATGGAAAAATTAAGAAGGAGCAAGACATTTTTCCAGTTTAAATTTGTGCTTCAAACCCCAGTCACTCTATCTGGCAGAGCTGTGGTCGGACGCATGGAGCTGCTCAGAGATGGGATCAGCAAAGTTTGATGGAGTGGAGTCGGCAGAAGAAGGGGCTGTGGTTTTGCTGATTATCTGTACTGCGTCTCAAGGGAAACACTTTTTATCCACTTAAAAACTGTCTGCAGTGCCAGGACAGCGCGCCAGAGCCCTGCGGTAGGTGTTTAAAATAGATGAGCCAAATCACATCCTAAAACTGCCCGTCTCCATTGCCTAAGAAGGTGCCCGATGCAATTAGCTGAACAGAGGGGTCTGCAGTCCCACTGCTGCGGGTCTGCAATGACGTCTCACACCAAAATATTTTGATGATTTGAAGCACTGCCTATTATTAAAGTACACTAAGTGGAAGCCCAGCAGAAAGAGAGACACAGAAACCAGCCTTTAATGTTTGGGGGAAAAGCTGTAGGAAGATTTTGCTTAAATTATTACACCTGTACTTGGCATGGCATTTTGGACACTTCCCACACTCTCCTCTAATTTTACCTCGGTGCATTTTTGCCCCTTTGCCTTGTGAGCAGTGTCAGCGGCGGGGGCAGGACGATGCGGCCGTGGTTTGACTTCCCCTGGGTAGCGGCACTGCAGCCGTCCTTGCGCTTGGAGCCCAGCAAACTCCAGGCATCACTGGTTCCTCCACATATGACAGCACTTAAACACTTAAAAACCTCTCTTTCGTGCTCTCTTCCACTTTTCCAATCAGGATTAAAAATGGTGGTAATCATTAGGGGATTTTGAGACAGCAGAATTTCTTGAGCAGAGGCTGATTTGAATAAATGATATCCTGGGGCATTTCCCTGCAGGCTCTGCAGGTGATGCTGGGCATTGCAAGCAGCTCTGCCTCTGTGAATTTGGCCACCTGAGCAGATCCGACAGCTTCATGCGAACCCACAGTTCTGCTTGACATCCCGTCCCGAGAACGTGGCTGTTCCTGGATGTTTCCTCCTCTCTCTCCACCCCAGCGGCGCCGTTATTAGCAACAGGAGGGACCTGTCCAAACCCTGCAGGGATGCCAGCATTGATTCTCCAGTGTAGTGCTCTCCGTTACCAAAGAGGGGCGGGCGGCTGGCCCCCGCCTCCAGGTTTTTGGACCCAGATCCCTGCTTTAATGGCCTTCACGGCAGGAACAACCCCTCTTGTGGGCCCTGAAGCCATCCATCCCCCTGCCCTTGGAGCCTGAGGGCA